CTTTTATGAAAAAAACAAACTAAAAGGTTTGTGAAAGACTAAAGACTAAAGAGAAATTGTTTTATCGTATTTAATGTCCTGTCAAAAATTGATTGTCTTTTTTAAAACGATTTTTAGTAGACATTAGATTTTTTTCTCACAGAACAAAAACAGAAAGATATTCACATTATTGAGGAATGATAAAAATGGTTATTTGAAAATTGTTTTTGGTAAATAATTGTTTTTTTTAAGTTTATTTACATATGAAAGTTAATTAAAAAAATGTCCAACTCTAAAAATATTTGTAAAAATGAAACGTTTGAATTGATGACTAAATAATATTGAATAGAAATAACTAGAGAAATAAATTAATTAACTTACCTTTTATCATTTTTTTTGAGTAAATTGTAAAAATTAAAATCAGCGTTGACTCAATGTTAGTTGCAGTTATCTCCCTTACATCAATGATATTTTGGATGATAATTAAATTTTATATTTTTCAGTCTTCTTGATGAAAGGCCGAAAAATATAAAATTTAATTATAGTTTGAAGTTTTGATATGAAGTATTTTCATTATTTTATATATTTTTCAATTTTTTTTTATTCTATATATTTTTCATTCTTGTTTTTAAAATAATTCAGTAAATATATTTTACCATTTTTTGCATTTGATGGTCTCTGGAAATTTCTTTTTAGTTTTTATTTATTTTTAATTAGTTATTTTCTTCATCTTTTCTGCTATAACACCACAAACGAGCAAAGCTACAATACTGAGTGTTATGGTTTGTTTAGTAGCGTACCCAAGTAAGGCTAAGAAAAATATCAGTCAAATATTGTATTAAAAACAAAAATTAAGACACAAGCCTTACAAATATATAGAAATAATTAATCTCAGAATTTCAAACAATACAAGAAAGCCAAAGAATATATCAACCCAAAATGTGTTAATTGCAACAAATATAAAGATAAGAGTCTGAAAAATATATGAAATAATGAATTTGATTATAGTTATACATTTGATTATATTATTATATTTTTCAGCCTACTGCTTTCTTGACCCCCAATTTACATTCTTAACATACTCCTACAACAAATACCCTCTCTTTCTTATTAGGGTTACTGTAAAATTAACTAATTTAACACTAAGGACATAATCATATCTACCAAGTGCCACAATCATTGTGAGATCACTATCCCCTGTAGTGTCTGCTGTATGGTGCATGACCAGTTATATAAAAAGATTTAACTCCAATTTTGGACCACAAAATAAAATAAAACTCTGCAAAGTGTCTGGAACACTATAATATTCTACCTAAAAGTCTGAGGAATTTATTCAGTGAAAAAAAATTGCTGAATTTGATACTTATCTTCCATCATCATAGTTGCAAAAGCCCATTATAAATTTAATATCCATACACAGTGTTGAAATCCAACAACTTTTAGGCAACACATTGCATAAGGAATAAGTATGAGTTTATTATTCTTATTTTAAACAGGTTACAATTGCTATGTAAGTAAATTGAGATTTGATTCTGTATAAAATGATAAATCAAATACTAACTTGATGCCAAAACATTTAAAACTAGCAAAAAAACAAAACTTGCAAAAAACAAAGTTGCAGGACAAGAGAACTGACACATGAATGTTAAAAGGGTACAAAGTAAGTAAATCAATAATTTCAACATGTTCAGAATTCTTTTCATTCCAAATCTCAGATTCTTTCAACAAGAAATAAAAATTAGTTTTGTTTCACTTGTATTGATATTTTATTTATTGGTGTAGTAAGATATGCAAAATGGACATCCTATTTTGCATAAAGTCAAATAACAACAAATAAGTCAGTCATTAGTTGACACGTGGGGAGAGGGACAATTACTACTATGTTACAGACTGAAAGACAATAGGTAGGATTACTGTCATATAGGACATAAATGAATGGAATTGTCAATTTATATAAATAGGTGGAGTTAAGCAGAGTTGAGGAGAGTTAGCATTATGTCAATTGCTAGGTGTACCTTTGTGTAGTAAACCTTCTATTTCATTACTTACCTATGAGTTTGTCTTCCTTATTATTTCTCTCTGTTATCTCGAAAACACAAGATACAACACTAACACTGTTGGATGAACTGGATTTTGTAGAAACATGGATTTGTTTTGCAGCCAGACATTTCTAAGTTTTTACTGTCAAAATTTAGTCTGGATAGTGTGTCCACATGTGGAATAGTGTTCCCTTTTACATATATGATGTTGAAATCAAAGGCCATGAGTTTTATAGCCCATCTTAAAATTCTAGAAGATGTGACTTTTGGCAATTCCTTTCTGGGGTTAAATATAAACTCTAAAAGTTTGTGATCTGATTTAAAAAATTTTTGTCCTAAAAATAAATTTCAAGCTCTTTCTGTGCTCCATACTATTGCTAACACTTCTTTATCAATATCTAAGAAGTTAGCTTCAGCTGATATTAATTTTCTTGACAGGTACATTATTGGATGATCTTCTTGAGATAAAATTGCAGCTACAGCATACTCACTTGCATTCGTAATCAATGTCACTTCTTTTTTTGGATCAAAGATTTTTGAAATTGGTTTTCTTATTAATGCCTTTTTTAATCTTTCAAAAGCTATATTTTGCTTTTGAGTTCATTTAAATTCTATATCCTTTTTCTGTAATTCTGCAAATGATTCTATTAGGTCGCTGTATCTAGGTAGATATTTGCTATAAAAATTGGTCAATCCCAAAAAGGATTCTAATTCTTTTTTGTTTTTTTTTTGGTGTAGATACTTCTGATATTTTATTTATCAGTTTATTGTCTGGTAAAATTCCTTCTATATATCTTGGTATCCCAAATATGATATTTTGTCGCAATTTAACCCATATTTATCGCTACTTATCATCATACCAGCATTTTTTAATTTTTTTTTTACTGTAAGCACTTATGCCTATATCGTCTTGATATATGATTGTATTTTTTACTCCCTCCAACAGAAATTTTTCAATTGCCTTTTGAAAAATATGGCTTGAAGTCTTAATTCCAAATGGAAGATGAGTCCATCTTAGTAAGCCTATTTGTGGTATTAAGTATAGTGACTTCTTCAAATTTTATTCAATTACTATTTGGTTATATTTTGATTTCAGGTCATTCTTAGCAAAATATTTAATTTCTGCTAATTCATGACTTGCTGTTTTTATATTAGATAAGGGGAATGAATCAGATCATATCTGATAATTCACACCTACTTTGTAATCCCCACATATCCTCAAATCACCATTGGGCTTTCATATTGCAACAATTGGTGAAACCCAACTGCTGGGTAACTTTTTCCATTATGCCTTGTTATACCATTTTCTTTAGTTTTGCAACTACCATGGGTAGAATGTGAATAGGTATTTTTCAATATTCAAAATAGACTGGGTGATTATTTTCTTTAAGAGGAATACTTGCTTTAGATTATTTCACTATGTGAGGTTCTTCTGACTTTATACAGTTTATTAATTTCACTGTATCCACTTTTAAAATGTTTATTCCCAGGAGTGCCTGATTTTTGTGCATTCTACAACCGTGATGGGAATAATCTCAAAATGGTTTTTTTGTCTCAAAAATTCCTTCAAAGAGCCTAGAGTTTTGATGAGTGATCCATCAAGTTGTTTTAAATTAATATTACTTTTTCTTAATTTGGGTTTATCCACTTTTCCTAGAAATTCCTTTGGATCAAAGTAACATTGCTCCCCATGTCAACCTGCATGGGAAAAGTTAATACCATTCAATTTTACTGTCTCTCTACTTTTTGCAGGTGTTCTTATCAAATATACATCTGAATTTTCAGTATGAGGGTTTATATTTTCTAACCTTTCTATTCTCTTTCTGTATCTGCACACGGATTAGAAATGGTCTTTTCTTTTACAGTTTAAACATAATTTTCCTAGGGTTGTACATTTGTTTTTGTTTCTTGCATGTTCTTTGCTGCAATATTTGCACTTAATTAGGATTTTAGTTATGTTGTATGCTTTCACATTGTTTTTAGAGTTATTGAATTCATTAATTAATTTGAATTGCTGCTAGAATTCTACACTTGCTTCTAAATTCATATGATTTGTTTGTAGCTATTCTAGGATCTTATGTTTACATGTAACATCATACATGCCTTCAATTAATCTTAGATGGATCAATTTGTCCTCTGTAGACATTTCTCTCAAACCCAGTTTTTCAAATTTGCAATATCTTGATGCTTCTTTTAATCTGTGTAAATATTGCATTACCCTTTTCATTTGGGTTCTGTCTATTTTCCAGAAATTTTGTTCTCTCTGCAATAACCAGCATTTTATTTTGCTCACACGTTTCTTTTTATAATGGTTGAAATTTCCTCATATGTTAAGTCTTTGAGTATTTTGGGGTACACCATAATAGATATTTTCTTTATGGTTTCACATCCTGCAGAAGCCAAAAATAAATCAGTAATTTCATTCTCACCCCTGGAGGTTTTGTTTCTTTACCCTAGTCAATATTGCGAAACATCTAATCCAAGTTTCCATGTGCTCCTGTTCATCCAGCATGGTTATGGATCCTAATCTCTGAAATAGATGCTATGGGCCCACATTCATACAGATCATCCCCATGTTAAAGGCATAAGACTCTTTTTAATTTTGGTTGACTCATTCTCATGGCTTGAAGTTGTTAGTGTTCAAGGTAGCCATGGTAAATCAAATTTTATGAGTAATATTTTCCAGAAACAGGGTGCCAAAAATGTTAGTCTCAATACATTAGAATTTTGTGATGAAACTTTGTATTTGTGGCTAAAACAAATTGCATAAAGTCAAACTAAAAATGTCAGTCATCAGTTGACATGTTGGGGTGGAGGGGAAATTATTACTATATTATAGGCTGGAAGACAACACAACAATTGGCTCAACAATACAACATTACTTCCCCTTCTCTATCACCCTAATACTTTGAGGAGATTTGTTTATAAAAACTTATTTTTGTTATAATCATTTTTTTCTTTACTGTTTTTCTATTTTCACAGGGCCAATTGTAAGTGCCTTTACAAATAGATATGGCTGTCGACCTGTAGCCATAGTTGGGAGTATAATTGGTGCATTTGCGTTTCTTCTTGCAACCCTCTCCCCCAATGTGGACATTTTGATTGTGTTATATGGAGCTGTAGGTGGTGAGTTGATGATTTTTTATTCTAATTTTTTGAAAAAATTGCTTTTCTTGCTAAACAATTTCTGTATGATGAGGAGGAGAATGTAAAGTTGTCAAATTTAAAATGCTTCCACAGGTCTTCATTAACATTTGAACATGGGTTTTATATTATAAATGTACATTTAACATCATAATTAAACATGTTTAGAAGATGAAGTAGTAGTTACTAGTATTTATAAGATGAAAAGTCAGTTTATGTTACTTATGTTTGTGTTCATTTTGTTTATTATTTGTTATGTAATATTGTATATTGTAATAACTTTTGTGGTTAGTCAGAGTGAAATTACTAGTATCATAGCTGAAAAGACACTAAATATATACTTTGATACTTTCTCATGTAAAGATAGTGAATTTTGTTTCTTACTAAAAGGCTACATAGCTTGACATGTAATGAATTTTGCCATGTTCTTTATTGGATAAAATATAAGAAATACACAAGTTTTATTACAATTTATTCAAAAAAGAAATGTAACTGAATAAGATCAACTGTATCATGGATAAATTCCTGTGACCTGAGAGTTTTGAAACAAGTCCTAATTCAAGTTCAAGGACATTAAAGACAAATGGACAAAAAATACTCAGTGATAGAAAAGGAGGTAAGTATGAAAGTGGAAGTTCTGATTAAATGGATGTCACTTTACATGTCCTATTTATCATGGCATTCATGTTTGATTTTAAGCAAACAAGGAAAATTAATAATGATAAAAGTCAGAGATAGATGTTTAAGTTTGCTTCTTACAGTTTGGCATAGAGTATCATCATTGAAGAGATAATATTATTGCAGATATTTTGTCTCAGACATATTTTTCTGCTGTTGGTTCTGATGGTTAACTGACAGAACATTTTATTATCCAGGTGTTATGTGAATTCTACACTTTGATAGCACAAGAAACCTACTATTCTTTATTGAGGCTGTAAAAGGTTATTGCCTTGTGCTCAATTTGGACCATGTCCAAACCACAGTTTCATTTACCTGATGTATCATATTTGACCAAGGCATCTGTACAATTTGAGAAACACAGTGACAGTTTTAAAGACCCTTTGCAATTAATTTCATTTAACCAATACTTACCTCTTCATTTTGATTATCCAAATGTGACATTTAAAACAGGGATAGAGTGCTTCAATCAGTTATTTGTTATCTTCAGCATGTCTTCATTCATACATCCAGGTAGAGGTACTTTATTTAAGTCATTAGCTGTGAGAAATATTTGGTGTATTTCTACTAAATGAATCATCCCTTAAAATCTTCAAGTCAATGTGTGAACAGTATAATGAAATTATAATGGCAGGTATTCAAATCACAAAGTCGGATTATAACTCAGAGGGACCTTGCCCTACAAGATGCATTGCATTTAATACAAATACTACTACTGAGTAACTGCTGAGTGATGGCTGCTAACACTACTCCACGTAAATGATTATTTAATTTCCAGTGCTGATTGATTGGTGGATATTCTATTCCAACATGGTTGTCCTCACTATGAGCTAGCTGTTTCTTTAAAGGCATAATTCAGATCATCGAAATATAACCTAATTATTGAAAAAGTAGAATTCCTTAACACGATTTGTCTATATTTGTCTTCATAATGACAAGGAAACAACACTGTCATTCTAAGATTTGTCTCCAGAAGAGTGATGGCTACTAACACTACTCCACATAAATGATTATTTAATTTTCAGATATATTTTGCCATTTTCTCATGCGAACTTGGTTAATTTTATCTTTTTACTGAAAGTCTACATAAATTACTTTCATGTGTATTGCCATGTTCTTTGTTGAATAAAAACTAAGAAAGAAACTCAAGCTTTACAACAGTATCTGTCTATATTTCTGAGATGAGGTATTATGTACATTATTTACATTATTCAGACTACTGTCCTCATTTTTGTCGCCATATTTATTACAACATTACAGTGAGTGAAATAAAGGGTTCAGTCTGACATTCCAATCACCTGAAGAAGGCCGGAGCATACAAACGCCAAAATGTTTTAATAAATATGGCGACAAAGATGAGGACAATAGTCCAAATAAAGTAAATGCTTTACAACAGTGTTTGTATGTATATATTTCAGCTCATCTATTTTTTTAGCCTTTCTGAAATCACTGATAAAAACATGAAGAAGCAAATAATAACCTGATAGACACTTAAATGATAATATGTATTTAACAGAACAAGAGAAAAATTGTAGGCTGATAAAGAATACACATCAATTTTAAAATATACTTTGAAGCAGCTCCATCAGAAAATTATAGACCAAAATAGTCATAGTGATTTGACAAAATACCAACATAAAGAATTTTCTATACAACCTATAATAAAAAAATTTGCTATACAACCTATAATAAATAAATTTGCTATACAACCTAAAATAAATTTGCTATACAACCTATAATAAATAAATTTGCTATACAACCTATAATAAAAAGCACTGAGTTTTGTAATTCATTATTAGAAAAATGTCCAGGACAAAATTAACTTTTACATACAGATGTGCTCTACAGAAATTTTAGAAATAAAAGTACTAAGTTAGAAAGAACACCTGAACAGTATTTCATTTAAACACCTGATGAAAAATATACCTACAAACTGCCATGACAGAGTAGGATTCTACAAAGAATTCTCTTTCACTTTTGTTATCTTTGATTAACATCATTTTGCTTCTATAACAACTGTAAGTAAATTTTGGCTTCACTTCACTATAACCAAAACTAAAAGTGGACAAAGAGAATATCTACATTATTCATAATTGGACAATTGTCCTCATCTTTGTTGGGCTTCATCAGGTGCTTGTTGATCTGGATAACCTTCAGGGAATTTCAAACTGAACCCTTTATTTAATCTATAGGAGTAAATTGTTCTCATTCCTCTGAACATGTCTAGGGATATCTCATCGGTTTGTATTTAGTACTGCTCTGTTATTGCCTACCCTGTTTCCACTGAGTCTAAGTGTGCACTATTCAGTCCAGGGATTGAACTCTCAATTATTATATTACCAAATTCAGTAGATTAAGCAAAGGGTTCAGTACAAAATTTTCTGAAGGTTACCTGAATCAACAAGCACTTGATGAAGGCCAGAGAACACAATGGTTGAAACATGATAATAACAACAGTCTGAGAGTAAATGATAGCTCTTCAAGCTAGACAGAAAAAAAGAGAACATTTGTTTATCAGCTTTAAATATAGAATCTGTGGACCTATATTGAAACATTTCTGTAGATTTTCATCAAAAGATTCAGGAATTTGTATTTTCTATAAATTTTAATTTAACTCATATTTATTTATTTTAGTAGCTCTCTAACTGGAAATTGGTAAGAAGATGTCACATGATAAAATCTATAAAAATTGCTTGAATTTTATTGCTTCATATGCAATAGTTATTAAACAAAAGTCATTTAATTCACTAAAAATAATGCAAATTCCACAAATTTACACAAGTCATTATATATATGATAGATGAAAATAAGCAAATACAAAGAAGAAGGTATGTGTCAATAGTTTTGTTGGTGTTGTTTAGAATCTTAAGTTTTATTCTACCTTTTAATTATAGATGACCAACTGTAAATCCCAGGTAAAAGCAATTTTTTTTCTTTGTGATATTCTTAAAACCATTGTTTCTTGTTCTTATTTTATCAATATTTCATTTTCTTTTTTAATTGCTTCTGATCTGTTCAATTTTTTTGCAATTTCCAACATTCTGTTTGCATCACTCAATAATTTTACAATATTTTTTTTATCATTTGCAGTTATAACTTTCTTACAACCCATGATCATTTTTATATACCTGAAATTTAAAAAATAAATATCAATAACTACACACCCACACACGCATATATATATATGTATATTGCAATATGATGAACAGGTCTAAAGTTGCTTAATAAAATTTGTCAACTTCAAATAAGTTATTGCAATTATTTCTAATAAAAACAAATATATTATAGCATCTAGAAAATTAAAATCATTGCTTCATAAAAACTGCAGTCTATACTAGCCTAAATGATAATCAGCCCTGGGCCTTAGGCTTCAGCCTACACTAGTCTAAAGGACAATCTGGCCCTGGGCCCTAAGCTGCAGCCTATACTAGTCTAAAGGACAATCTAGCCCTGGGACTTTGGCTGCAGCCTATACTATTCTAAAGAATTATCTGGCACAGCTAATGAGGAGCAAATTTTATGGAGAAATGGAGGCAGAACTAATTTCTCAGCTCATCATACGGTACGGTTTTGGTTTACCCAGTGAAGATAAAACTAGCAAATTGGTCTATAAGATACATTTGTTGACCATCATGCTACAGTAGGTAAAAAAATATTTATTAAACTTAACTCAATCTGGTACAGTGTCATATTAGTGGGTTACCTTGTGAGTATTCAACTCAAATTGGTCTGCCAAATGAGGATTCATTAGTTAAATAATTTCAATAAAAAGAATGAATCTAACAATGATATAATGTCTATAATTTTGTGAAGTTTCATTATCTTTCCAATCATTCAGATTATGACACTGATTTATGAATGAATTAAAAGATATCTGAAATAAGTAAAATAAAAATGAAATAAAAACACAATTTTAAAAATACTTGAAAATAACAACATTATTCTGAATAATTAAATTTTCTGAAAAAATCTGCAAACATTTTTCTCTGTTTTCTTTTTAAGGATTTGGCCTTGGTCTAATCTATCTTCCCTCCATTGTCAGTGTGGGCTATTACTTTGATCGAAGAAGGGCAATTGCTACTGGGATTGCAGTGTGTGGTTCCGGATTTGGGGCATTTATTTTTGCACCACTAGGGCAGTTTTTACTCTCAATATATGACTGGAAAAATGCTCTTTACATTGTTGCTGGTCTCATATTAAATGGGGCTGTGTGTGGATCACTAATGAGACCACTTGAAGCCCCTAGGAATAAAAAATATGGTAGAAAGTTAGCTCCACGTGAAAAAAATATGATAGACCGAATAAAAGAACAAACAAAACGGGGTCGGACAGATTCAGAGACAAGTGCAATTGATGAAACAAGAGCGATATATGAAACAAACACAGTATTTCAGAAAGTACAGTTAGCTAAATTACAACGAGAAAATCAGTTAAATGAAGATGAATCTGAACTCGGATCTCTACCCAGCACAATCTTTCTGAAACGTCAAGATAGCGAGCAGAAGAGGCCAAAAAAACTTTCCCTGTCTGACCGTGGTGATACAGTCAGCAAAGCCAGCACACCTTCAGAGCTTCCAAAAATTGTTGTCCATGATCCTGTCACTTCCAAATCTCCATCTCCAAACTCAGACACAACAGTAACAAACGAATCCTCTAAAGTACAACAAGATACTACTGGCAGCCGAACTACATCACTGCGAAGACAAGACTCCGAACAAACTAGCTCCCCCAAGTCAGTCACTCGCGCCTCATCAAAAGCCACAACACCGCAGAAACGACACCAGTCAGATGAAATAAGTCCATCTCCATCAATCAGCACCCCAGCAACACCAGTAACGCCTGAGGAAAGTATTACTGGTGGGGACAAAACTCTTAGCTCATCTGGTAACTTTAAAAAGGAGAATTCTTCTTCAAGACCAATTGTTGGCAGCATGCCAAATTGTCTCCCAACAGAAACCAAAGAATCCAACACCCCTTTGTTAGCCGAAGACAGGAAACATCTTCTCGTCAAGCATAACAAGGATGGAACCAAGGAATACTGGAATCGCTCCAGTGATTTTGCTGGTAAGTTCCACAATCGTCGCTGCAGTGAACAACCTTGTAAATCTGAGAGGAGATCCAGTGAATTCTTTTCCAAATTTCATCGCCGGTTTAGTGAATTTCCAGGTAAGAAATGCTTTATTTCTTTTCATTTAACAAAAGTACATTTCTTTTTAAATGATATTTTTATCTTTGCATAAATTTTGAATATTCCCTCTGATTGAATTGTCTTTTTTCTTGATCCTTTTCTTTTGATATCTCTTTCCTTTTTTTTTTTTTTTTTTTATGAATGCCTGTTTGTTTCTTTTGCCCTTCAAAAACCATTTTTGAATTTATGATGTTCTGAATATTTATCCTGGAAGGATTTTGGTTTTATTTTATCATTAATTCTTCAATATGATGGAAAAAAATGTCATCAAAACATAGAGACAATGCCTACTAAACTAACATATCCATGCTATCAAAATTACCAAAAAGTTTTCATTGTAAATAAAGAGCAAAATTGAATTTTACACTGAAAATTAAATTTACAAATTTTATGTCCTTACAGATGAAATGTGAGTTTAAGCAACAGAATGAAACATAGTTCATACTAGTTAAACTTAATAGAAATAACATTTTCAGTCCATTGTTGGGCATAGGCTTTCTTTAAACTCACTATCTTTGCCTTTCACGTACTAGGCTTTACCATTGAGGTTAGTCTCCTTTGGAATGCACTGCTCCTACCCATAGGTGATGCAGTTGGGACTCAATCAGGTGAACCAACAGGAACAGACAGTATCATACTATGGCAAAGGTTAGGTTAGTTTAGGCCATTACTCTACTGTCCTGGCTCAATGCATGTTGGTAGGGGCAATTGTGATCTTCATCTGCAGCTTCAGACCCAGTCTTTCCAACATCAGTGAACAGGCTTGGCTTAGCTCAACAAGGAATAGAAATAGTAATTGCCGATAATTATATAGTATAAAAACAAAAAATACTTAAATCTTTACTAATAAATTTAGACTTCATCTCTGTTTATTTGATATTTGTTCAGATTGCATTAAAATAAAATAAAAATTAAAATTCTTTTAATTAAGAAAAGAAAGAAAATATAAAAAAATAGTAAATATTTAATGACTGGAATATTTTGTCTTCTGGTTTTTCTGAAACCAAAATCCTTCTTTTGTGATGTCATTCTTTTATTCTGATTCTCTTGATTCCTATTTTGACTTTATTGCTGTGATGCTTACTGTACAGAGAAATGGCTGTCAAATGTTGGATGAAATGACCCCCTTCCTACTAGCACCCAGGATCCAAATTAAACCAAATTTGGTTTGCTTTGTTGATAGCCATTCTCCAAAGTTATGGAAAAAAAAATAAAACAAAAAAGGATAGGTTTCAAGAGGTTCAATCATTAAAAGAAGTTTTACCATCAAGATAAAAATGGCTGAACAAAACTCTAGACTGAATCATGGGTAAATAGTTTGATTTACAGTATTTATCAACTCAATAAAAGAAAATGAATTTAAAATAAAAACAAGACAAACTTCATCCTCAATGCAGTTATTTATTTTTAAGGCTGCATAAGATTCTCTTCCTCTGGTGTGATTTTGTCTGTGTGGAAGAGACTGTAGAATGAAAACTAATTCATCATCCAAAAGGACGCAGAGACACTTTTGGACTCTATCAAGAGTGGAAAGTGAAGACTTGGCAGCTCCTGCCCATATATGCTAGCAGTCCTCCATTTTCAGCCTAATCTGTTTCTTGTAAAGGTAGAGGATAACAGGTGAAGCCACGTACTTGAGTGGCACAGGAACTGACCATTTTTCCAGTATCTTTAGCAATAGATGGCATGTATCAGTTTCACTTGAGGTCTGTGTTGAGTTTAAGTTCCAAGAGGTGCTCAAAGCATGGGGCTCCCTGAGAGAACACCTGTTCATCATGATAGGTGAAAATTCAGGGTCCACTTAGTACTGATAGAATGTCACTAGTTTGATTTTCAAAACATTGAATGCGACTGCCAATTTTTTCCCCATTGAGCTGTTAGAGCTAAATCAGAGGGGAGATCAGCTGCCATGCTCTGGTCATTCAGAGTTTTGGAGTTGCACCTATATGCCATTGTAGCATCAGCATAGATATTCTTAAAAGACTAGATTACATCCAATCTTTTATGAATATCTATACTGATGATTACAAGCTGTCAGAAATTAGACGATATTTACAAGAATAGTTTATATTTGGGACTAGAAGAAAATGTATAAACTATGATAAAGCTTTTTTGTTCAAACTCCTGGGAGTTAATTTTTTATCTGTAGAATCAGTTTGGTCAGAAGTGATTTATGTTGACAAGGTATGTGTTTTGTAATTTGTTAGAATATTCAGTTATCATTTATTTCATCTTTATTTAAAATAATTTATAATTTGTCTAAAATGGAGGCAAGTATACTCTTTAATGTTATGTATTTATTGAAAAATTTATTTATCAAAAAAATAACAATTTGCAACATCAATCGACTTTAGTATAACTTTAGTGCTACTCAGATAGATTTCTTTTTGATCTCTCTAAATATATTTATTTATTTTTTTATGATTTTCAAAATTATTGTCAGAACTTAATCACGATGAAATATAATAGTAATATGGTAGTATTTTTTAAAATAATTCTTACAGGAAAACATAATAAAATAATATTGGATCATGATTTTTTCTTCTCAATTTGATGAGGATGTCTTTTTTTGTCATTGACTTAAAAAAGAAAAACAACATACAATAAAAACTAAAATTTCATCAGCTGAACACATAGGTAGTTTAGTTTTAATAGTTAAGTTTATTTTTTCAAATAATATAGATGGTAAAATTTTAAAGATAATTCTTAGGTTTCAATTATTAATGTTTTCTACCCAACATTGTCAATTTTCTAATAAAACAAACTTAATATTCAAATTCTGCAGAAATTTCTTTGAAATAAATCTTAAAAAACATCCAACTTTTCTTTTTTTTTTTTTTTTGGCAACTGTTTCTCTGGTAATGAAATTTTCATAAGAATGTTGACTGTCTGGTAGAAAAGAGTTTTAATAATCTAGAATGACTTTGATCAAATGCTATGTAACTTTAGCCTCTGAAACTATTTTTTATTCCATGCAACAATATTTCTGAAATTACTGCTTCACAGTTTAAATAATCTTGCAGATAAATTTCAATTTGCTAAGAATACTGTGATTATTTTTCTCTACTTAAACAAAAAATACTGTATTTGACATCAATGAAAATTGGTTTGATTTGTTGTTCTAGTTATTGTATAGAGAGACTAGTTTTGACTAATTTCCCATCTTTGTTTGGTTTTTGTCACAATGTTTTGGCCACTTATCTTTTTATGGATGAACTGTTGCAAAAAAATAATCTCAATAAAGATCAAAGAATTTATTTGAACTCATCCATATAGAATAAATAAATCATTCACACATTAACATGATTTTCAATTTTTTCACACACCATATTTCCTGTTTCTCATCATCATATAAAAATTAGATTAATAATACACACACACACAAACACATACACAATATAGTTGTTCAAAACTGTCCATTATAGTTTAGAATTACAATATTTGTTTGAATATACAGCCTAAAACAAAAGCAATATTTAAATGGTTGGCACATTTTTCATTATTGATCTTTGATCTGGGTACAAATTTCAGTAAAGATTAAACTTTTTCTTATACACATATATGTGTATGCATATATATATATATATATATATATGAAAAGATATATAATATTATATTAATGTAATGTTAATTATGTTACTTATATGTGTGACAACACACTCTGCATGTCACTCTCTGCACAACTGTGATGACATCCAAGCCCAGTTGTATGCATATATATACTCAGCTAGCTATGTTCACACGTTTCTCCTTGGCCATGATTAAATTCAACAAAGAATAATGACAAATACTTTTCACAACACTCTGATTGGGAAATAGCAACCAATATGATTTCTCACTTAACTGTCAATGTCCCTTTGGTTTCATTGAGATGAACTGCTATCATACTGTTTCTGCCACAGAAAGAGGACCTTTACATTCACTGACCATCTAGGTGACTGCTCCCTTTCTCCTCTCTGACTGCTGGTCCCTTTCTTACTGGCTGCTGGTCACTCACTACTCATTATATGGGCACCAGTTTGGTTCCTACCACCCCTATCCATCTACTTGTGTTCCAGAAAAGGAGACCACCCAAAAGCTGGAAGAGTGGTCAATTTTTCAAAGGACTCTATTTTTATGATTATCTTAAATCATTAACAAAATTTTATGTTTGCCTATTCAAAGGTGGGCTGGAGACAGGATTTCTGAAACACTGCTCATTAAGTTGACTCACAGATTGACTGGAGACAAAATTCCTAAGAAACACCGGTAATTAAATTGACTTAAAAGGAAAAAGAATCTATCTACTTTAACTCCTAAGGATGTGTGAGGAATTGTATTGTTACATATGTTTTTTCTTATATAAATGTTATTCGAAACTGTTATATAATACTGATTAACTTTCTTAATAATTTTGAAATATGCCTGATCAATTAGACAGTGTTGATCTTGGAAGGATTTTTAATCATTTTTTCTTGCTTTTATATTTTATTTTATTAAAAAGAAAAAGTACATAAATAAAAGAGAAAACAAAAAAAATTTAAAAAATAATGAAATTAAAACAAATCTTTTTTTGTTAAGCTGCCCTCTTGAGTCATGTTAGTTTTGTGAATGTGTTCAGAACATCAAAAGGAGTCTATTAATCTAAACAATTCATGGAACAACATTTTGGAAGAAGAGAATTTAGTGCAAAGACCAACAAAAACAATCTTTAAATCGTTGACAAAGCCAACAAAGAATAAGTAAACCAAAATATTCAGATGTTCTCCTTACATCTGACCTTTTTTCTGTATTTATGCATATACAATAGATTCTGGTAAATTAGGGATGGTTGGTTGTCCTTGTTATACAATACAACATATAAAGAATTGAAATGTATACATTTTTCATTTAGTTT